ACTTGTCCTTATTTTAGGAAAGGTGCTTCAGGGAAGTGGACAGAATCGTTGGAAATTTCATAAAAAAAAGGTAAATTCTTAATTATGACATATTGAATTTTATCGTGACTGTACCGTCACGTAAACAGCTATTGTAAATTATATCATATCGGGATAAAAAGGATAACTGAATTCAACGTTTTAAAGGAGCAAAACGAACTTTTACTATGCTATCATATCTGTATAATAAAAAAATTAATAGGAATATGCTTGTCTAAATGTCAGGGGTTAAGTTAAAAAAATGCACATTCATTAAAGTTAGCAAAGTATAAATAATCAAAATACTGTACTATTTCATGGACACTACGGGGAATTTATGCTACCTGTTACATATAAAAAGGATCATTACATAAAATAAACTAAGAAAGAGGTTTATGGGAAAGCATGACTAAATGCGTTCCTTGGTCCGCCATGTTGGAATTTTACCGTGGTGGTTGTACCGACATGTAAGCAACTATTGTAAATTATACCACATCGGGATAAAAGGATGACGAAATTCAACGTTTTAAAGAAGCAAAACAAACTATTACTATGCTATCATAAAAATTAATAGAAATACGCTTGTCTAAATGTCGGGGGGTTAAGTTAAAAAAAAGCACATTCATTTAAAGTTAGCAAAATGTAAATAAACAGGTACTGTTTTATTTCATGGACAAAACCGGGAATTTATACTAACTGTCACCTAGAAGGATCATTACATAAAATAAATTAATATAGGGGTTCAAGGGTAAGCATGACTAGGCGCGTCTACAATTGAAAATCGAAGCGGACACTTAAGTCTGAATATTATGTTCATATAAGGACATGAAAATAAAAAAAATAAACAATTGAACTATCAGGAAAGGAGAACATATGCTTAAATATGGCTAGCGAAATTGCGTCTAACTTAATAAATATAAATAGGATAATATAAAATATAAGAGAGATAAACAATCGTACTATCAAGTAAAGAAAAAAAATCAGTATGCTATTAAACCTGTCGGATGAAATCACTTAGTAAAAATTAAAAAATAGTTGGAAACATATATAAAATTAAATAAATCGCATGACATATGCACAATTTTTTATTTTTTTTTTAATTAGATAAGAAAATAAAGGCTTCACAAATTTTTATACTTATATTGATAACGCTAAATATCGTAAAGAGAGAACTAAGAGAACAATGGTATTAACAAAATTCAAAATACCTTCAGACCTTTTGAGCGGAATCATTTTGTTGGATAGAAATAATTGAAAAATAAAATTATTAAACTTTGGTATATAATAAGTCGTATTGATTTTTACAATTTAAAAGATAATGGCGAAAAACTAAAAGAAGATGGAATATTTAAGAGGTGAAGTCTTCCTGCAAGAGCGGGAAGAGGTAGCAAAAAACCAACCTTTTCAATTCAGATGCTGGAAGTCAACTGAACCCTTAGTTGTCTCCTTCTTCCCGCCTAAAGTGTCCACATGTGTTTTACATGTGTGGTCACCCCAAAATACCTCTATTTCCACCCCCTTGCACATGTGTTCCCCTCCTTACACATGTGTTCCTGAGGGTTCTAAATTTGGAATTTGCGGGAAGTCCTCAGGTTTTTGAGAAAGATGTTGTTTTTAGGCCCAAGTTCGTGTCCCAATATTTTAAGAACCATATAAAATTAGTCTGTAGTTTAAGATCTTAGCGATAAAATAATTATAAAAACTTTAAATCCTTGCATGGAAATTACCAACGATCTTCTTGGAAAAATAAAAAATTAACTCAAATCAATTGTACACCAATCTCATAACGTAATTTCAAAGTGGTTAATAGGCAATTTTGAATAAAAGGTAAAAAAAATAACACGCTCGGCAAACATGTAAAGGCGTTTTTGAATACATAGAGAAAAAATAAAAAAAAATTAAAAGGGAATAGCCTATTGTTTAAGATCTTAGCGATAAAAAAATAGTCTTAAAAACTTCGAATCTTGCATTGAAAAACCAACGATCTTAAAAAAAAAATAAAAATTTACTCGTGACGATTGTCCGCCAAGAAAAAAGGCGTTTTGAATACATAGAGAAAAATAAAAAAAAATTAAAAAGGAATAGCCTATAGTTTAAGATCTTAGCGATAAAAAAAATAGTCGTAAAAACTTTGAATCTTGCATTGAAAAACCAACGATCTTAAAAAAAAATAAAAATTAACTCGTGACGATTGTCCGCCAAGAAAAAGGCGTTTTTGAATACATAGAGAAAAAATAAAAAAAATAAAAAGGAATAGCCTATAGTTTAAGATTTTAGCGATAAAAAATAGTCGTAAAAACTTTGAATCCTGCATTGAAAAACCAACGATCTTTTAAAAAAAAAATTAAAATTAACTCGTGACGAAATACACTAAATGAACAAATTACATAAAGAAGACTGGGAATCAAAAGAATGCATATTTTAATGCTTAACGATGAATAATTATTAAAATTTTAAAATATGGCGGTTTAATGTATTTTTCAAAAATATGTGAAAACATGTGTTTGAAAAAATATTGAAATGCACCAAAATTACATAAAGAAGACTGGGAATCAAAAGAATGCGTATTTTAATGCTTAACGATGAATAATTATTAAAATTTTAAAATATGGCGGTTTAACGTATTTTTCAAAATATGTGGTAACATGTTTTTGAAAATATATTTAAATGCACGAAAATTACATAAATACTGGGAATCAAAAGAATGCGTATTTTAATGCTTAACGATGAATAATTATTAAAATTTTAAAATATGGCGATTTAACGTATTTTTCAAAATATGTGGTAGAGACATGGATTTTTATCTCAGGATCGCGGGCTTACTTCCTGCAAATTACTTTGCAGTTTTCAGTAGTTTGTTGCCCCACGTTGGGCGCCAAAATGTTGAGTCTCTTTACAAGGTTCTATCGAGGACATCTCAACCTTATACTTTGTCTTTTAGCTCAGCAACAACATTGTTTAGTTATATACCAACTTGGGTTAAAACTCAGATACACATGCAGGAGGATATAACGAACACAAAAAGGTCCATGTTTAATACATAATGTGCATTTTGTTTCAGGGTAAAGTATCACAAACACATCTTTAAAATAATAAATCAAGGGTTTTATTGTTATCTCAATGGACCTTACAAATTTCATTTCATGGACAATTCTACATGGACAAAAAAATTTTGTTTATAGCAAATTATAGGATTTCAAGCAAGAATGATTTTTTACCTATTAAAACCATAGATATGCCTTTCTCGACATACAAAACGTGCCATAATTTACAAGCATACCAAAAAAAAAAATTAGTGAAACATGAGCCTTTGTTCTACCTTGGTAGATTTTCTTACAAACTTTCGTTTGTAGGCAGTACTAAATGAACATAAAATCTATTTCCTTTATCAGACTCTAAGACTTCATACAAAAAACAAAATATGAATTTTTACTACCTTTTAAAATAAGCTATAAATATGCCTCTTTGACATATTAAATATGCCCTAAATGAATAGAGAAGATGTTAACATACCATTTCTCCCCGGATGTCAGCGCTCCCTCAGGATCGACCTCTTCGTTCGCCTGCCCCCGTCAAAACTAACCGTTATCCCCTTTTCTTGAAAACAGCGCCCCCAAAAAAAATTGTCATCTTCTTACAGAGTAAGAAAAAAATTATTTTAATATTCTTAGAATATAAAAAATAGTAAAATATTATTATTCCTTCCCTTTTTTTTAAAGAATAAAATTGAAATAAGAAATATAAATGCTCATCCCTTGAGAAATTTGTATAGTAATTTCTTCTTCACGAAATTTAAAATAACGAGACATACTTTATTCATTTTAGAATAAAATAAATGATAAAGGTAAAATTATATTATCTTTCTTATCAAGAGATAATTTGGATTAGTAATAAAATTAATAAAATCTAACATGTTTGGCCCTTTGAGAATTTTATATAATAATTTATTCTTTAAGAAATTTTAAAATAAGGAAATATGTCCAATCTATCTGGATATGCCAGTAATTGGCTTTATTCATTTTTAGAATAAAGAAAAATAAATTTAGGAAATTCTCGAAATGGTAATATAACCCTTTTGGACGTTTCATATTGCATAAAAAAAAAGAAAAGGTGATTGGCATTAGTTAACATATGCACATATGTACATAGTTTGTATATCCTCCGCTGGACCTCTCTGCAATGGGCTTCGGGATCCTTGGGCAGGACCCGTGTCATCTCCAGCTGGGTGTCTTCCCCGGCTTCTGGTCTTTAAGGCATAGGTGTCATCTCCAGCTGGGTGACTTCCCCAACTTCTGATCTTTAAAGGCATAGGTGTCATCTCCAGCTGGGTGTCTTCCCCGGCTTCTGGTCTTTAAAGGCATATGTGTCATCTCCACCTTTCTGGACAACAAACATTTTCGGCAAGACACTGTGTATTTATATGATGTAAATGTTTACATCATTGTTGGGTCTATTTTGTGGAAAATCTGGCCCAACATTACCGAGCACAAAACAAGTTTAACCCTTAACAAAGCAGATCAAAAATTATTTCTCTAAAAGTCAAAAAATGAGAAATATATATTAAAATTTGAATATATTTTATTTCTGACACTTTGTATAATATTTTAAAGGATCAATAAGCAATTATTATAAACTAGACGAATGACCCGGGCAACGCTCGGGTTTACACGATTAAATGTTTCATTCAAACACTATTCGTTACAATTATAAATTGGCGCCGTGGATGTCACTCTTGTGAAACGTCCCGCTCCAAACCTTACAGTCAGGTTAGTTACGTTATAAATCTTCAAATCGAGCGAGCGTCTATAAATATTTCGATTTAGATCAAGTATTCTAATTTGTAAGCAAACTATTATTAATAAAATTTTGAGAAGTTTCGATTTTAAACGTATTTATAACCTTGATAGAGGGCGCTGTTCGTGAGCTAAGTGGAATAATTTGAATATATAGTTTTAATATTTAATTTTTGAACGGAAAAATATGTCCAGGGTAGCCTAGTGGTCATGGCATCTGCCCGGTAAGCGGAAGGTCGTGGGTTCGATTTCCATATCTTGACACTTTTTTTATTTTATCCATTCTGACCAAAATCTATCCGTGAACTTCACACAGTGAACTTCACACATACAGAATAAGGCAATTATATAAGTAGATTAATAAAATTAATAATAATTATAATTAGATAATGATAATGATCATAATGATGATGCGCGCGTTGATGACCAAAATCTATCCGTGAACTTCACACAGTGAACTTCACATAGACAGAATAAGGCAATTATATAAGTAGATTACAAAACTATTTTAGACGCGTAATATTCTTTTTAAAATAAAATAATTTCTACTGCCCTTACTGCAATGGAAAAATTAAGAGTCAAGCATCAGTATCACTATAAAAGGAAGTTCAAACTTTTTTTAATACCTAATTAAAAGATAATCAAAAAGTGAAGGAGAAAATATTCATTTTTGTATTATGATAACGTTAGAAAACAAGTCATCAATCCTCTCTGTTCTTTGACTGTAACACTAATGGACTTTAAAAGAAAGCCAATTTAATATGATGATATATTATTTCCACATATATATAAATGGAATATGACAAGGAGATTTTTAAACTTGGGGATAAAAACAAAAGGTTTTTTTTATAACTTACCTAAAACTAAAGAATATGCAGTATTAGAAATCAAACTATTTTTTAAATCTATTTTCTACTACCCTTACACTGCAATGGTAAATTTGGACCTGGCTCATCAGTGGTGAACCCTCCTAGTGGTTATACCAGTGTAATCTACCATACTGCTGTAATATTGTACTACGCTGCTTTGATATTCAGGAGATTATATTATGAAACCATTAGTGATTAACAAATCAAAAATGCCCCGAGCCTTTAAAGGAGTAAACATCAATAATCTTCCCGTTTATTGGAGGGCTAATAAGAAAGCGTGGGTTACTGCTGCAATGTTTACTGAATGGTTTCATGAATGTTTTATCCCAGATGCCAAAAAATATTTAAGTTCAAAGGGATTGCCTTTTAAAGTGCTTTTGTTAGTTGACAATGCGCCGGGTCACCCACAAGATCTAGAATATGAGAACGTTAAAGTAACATTTTTACCAAAAAATACAACTTCATTATTACAACCATTGGACCAAGGCATAATTTCTACTTTTAAAGCTTTGTACATAAAACGAGCCTTTACATATATTTTGTAACAAATGGAAAACAATGAATCTTTAACAGTTATTAGTGCTTGGAAAAATTTCACAATTTTAGACTGTGTGAAGCATATCGCCTTATCATACACTGCGATTAAAAAAACAACGCTCAATAGCTGTTGGAAAATATTGTGGCCAAATGTAGTCAAAAATGAACATTCCATTTCAACGTTAAATGAATATTCGCAGATAGTACAGATGGCGTATTCATTGGGCAGAGAAGGTTTGATGATTTTACTGATGGTGATATCGCAGAGTAAATGGCTGATAAAGAACTAAGTGAGGATGATTTAATTAACTTAGTTTGCGAAAGTGAGTCCGACAAATCTGATAAAGAGGAATTAGTACCAGTAACATTCACTGCTAAAGTCATCAGCGAAGGACTCGCATTGGGAAGAAAGCTGGGTAATCATTTTATGCAAAATGACACAAACGTTGAAAGGCTTTACGATTCCAACGTGACATAAATCGCTGCTTGGCTCAATATGAAGAAGTTTACAAAGATCTTACGAAAAATTTGAAGCAATTGTTAATAACCGATTTTATTACCATCTCTCATAATGTAAATATTTCTGCTTCAAACATCGAATCGGCACAAATAACTTAGAGTGATGAAAGTGAATTCGAACCTTCGATACCGAAAAAAAAAAAGAATGAGAGTAATTTCTGACAGTGATGAAGGATAATAAAACACCTTTGGTTTTATTTTTTGTTCTTCTGTTTATGTATGTTCTAGCCGAATGACCCGGGCAACGCCCGGGTTTTACCCGATTAAATGATTTTATTCAAATACTATTAGTTACAATTATAAATTGGCGTCGTGGATGTCATTCTTGTGAAACGTCCCGCTCCAAACTTTGTGTCTGAGAAGCAATATTTTATAAAAAGATGATCTGGCTTTGTGTCTTCTGCTTGAATGAATGTTTTTCTGTTTGAATTTTGTTCCTGCATACTAAAAATTAACTGGCTTCACCCGTGGTCTCTGCTTTTTGGAATTTTTCCGGATATAATTTTGTATCTGATAATCAAATATGATACAGCAATATTGTCATAATCATTTTCTGACTAAAAAAAAACTATTTTTGCCCAGAACCTGTCAATTTCAATTTTTCTTGGCTAAAAATGCGACAAATATCTCTTCCATATTTTTTTCTATCGCCTGTTAAAACACGTTTTACATGTACATTAGGTCAGTTGATTTTACCTCCCATCTTCAACGCTAGAGGCGCTGCTTGCGAGCGAAAGAGCAAATTTGCAACTCAAATTTGCAAATAACTCGAAGAATATTCAGGATAGAGACCTGAAATATTCAATATGTTTTTCCAGATTCTACTATACATACTGCTAAAATTTCAGTTATATTAGTTACGTATGTCACGTATATTATGTAAAAGCATTCCATTCTCAAAAGCAAACAATGACAGAATTGATGACTCTGATACTTGTATATTTTAATAATAATAATATAAATGAGTTTTAAAAATTGTAAAAAAAAAAAAAATGCATCGGCCCGGAATCGAACCCGGGCCGCCCGCCTGGCAGGCGAGCATTCTACCACTGAACCACCGATGCTTATAAGAAATGCCCATATTTGGGTATTTATTCCATTCACAAAAGCAAACGGCGACAGAATTGATTGATGACTGATAAATATAATGTTAGATTATGTTAGCATAATGAATTAGTCAGTATTCCCATGGTCTCCAGCGAAGAGGTGTGAATTGACTTTTTGAAAATATACATAATTATAAAGATAGAAGCTTCTATAGAAATAACTAAAATAAGCCGAAATAGCTCAGTTGGGAGAGCGTTAGACTGAAGATCTAAAGGTCCCTGGTTCGATCCCGGGTTTCAGCATCTTTTTTAATATATTAATTTTTAAAAACTATGACAGAATTGATGACTCTGATACTTGTATATATGATTTTTAAATTTTTACTTACCGTAACTTGACATGTGACTTAACGTGACAGAATTGTGAATGACTCTGATAACTGTATATATTTATTGTATTTATATAAAAAACAGTGTTTCCGTAATATATTACATTTTTTAACCTGTCAATGCTTTTTATTTCTGTGTACACCTAAAAATTAATATATACATTTATCAGAGTCACGCACAATTCTGTCACGTTAAGTCAGGTGTCAAGTTATGGTAAGTAAAAATTTAAAAATCATATATACAAGTATCAGAATCATCAATTCTGTCATCGTTTAAAAAAATTAAAATATTAAAAAAAGATGCCGAAACCCGGGATCGAACCAGGAACCTTTAGATCTTCAGTCTAACGCTCTCCCAACTGAGCTATTTCGGCTTATTTTAGGTATTTCTATAGAAGCTTCTATCTTTATAATTATGTATATTTTCAAAAAGTCAATTCACACCTCTTCGCTGGAGACCATGGGAATACTGACTAATTCATTATGCTAACATAATCATATATACAAGTATCAGAGTCATCAATTCTGTCACGTGTCAAGTTACGGAACGTGCACACAATGCAAAAAAAAACTTTACAAATTTAGCGTTACTGTATGTATATAATCACTTTCTATTTTTTTTTTTCCGGCCTTTGTTTTTTTAATCTCTCTTTTTTAAAAATCGTTTAAAATGCAGTCGCAGTCACTAGCAAACACATATGTCTGCCTAATTTCCATGTGCTCTTTATTTTTTACAGAAAAATATTTACATGCCAGTATTTTGGATTAATATTTCTTATAAACCTATTTTTTTCTTATTTTTGCTGAGAAGATGGGCATCGCAGTCAAGATCCATCGTAGTCACTCACTCAACTCAGGCAATTTCAATGGTTAGTGCGCTGGGGTGGGTACCTCGGGGGTTGGGTGGAAAAGCTGCCATCTATTTAAACTATATTAATTTTGAATAAACTAAATGCATTGCAAAAAAATAATTAAATCAAATACCTAAACATTAATATAATACAATTTTTGCCATCACACACACTTTTTGCCTGTGGTTTATGTGTTACTTCTGTGTTGCTATTCTATGGCACTTCTACTATTTATTATTCATTTACTTTCAGTATGAAGGAAATTGCACTCAGGGTAATTCTCGGGCGAAGCCGGATCATTCGTCTAGAGAATTCAAGAATGACATCCACGGCGCCAATTTATAATTGTAACAAATAGTATTTAAATAAAAGCATTTAATCGGGTAAAACCCGGACATTGCCCAGGTCATTCGGCTAGTATTGAAAAAATCACAACTGTTAAATAACAAAATTATGCATTTTCTGCAAGCTTTTCGATTTACACGGTTGAATTTTGTTTCTGCATACTAAAAATGAACTGGCTTCACCCGTGGTCTCTGCTTTTTGGAATTTTTCCGGATATAATTTTGTATCTGATAATCAAATATGTTAAAGCAATATTGTCATAATCATTTTCTGACTAAAAAAAAAACAACTATTTTTGCCCAGAACCTGTCAAATGCTTATAAAAAATGGCCATATTTGGGTATTTATTCCATTCACAAAAGCAAACGGTTACAGAATTGTTGATTGATTGTTGATTATGAGTGATACTTGAATATTTTAATAATATTTTGATAATAATACAAATGAGTTTCAAAAATTGTAAAAAAATGCATCGGCCGGGAACCGAACTCGGACCGCCGGACCACCCGCGTGGCAGGCGAGCATTCTACCACTGAACCACCGATGCTTATAAAAATGGCCATATTTGGGTATTTATTCCATTTAAAAAGCAAACGGTGACAGAATTGTTGATTATGACTCTGATACTTGTATATTTTAATAGGTTTTTTAACCTTTAATTAGACAATTTTGAATTTTTATTTATACATTTTCAATTTTAATTTAGACATTTTTCATTTCAATTTAGACATTTTTCATTTTAATTTAGACATTTTTCATTTCAATTTAGACATTTTTCATTTTAATTTAGACATTTTTCATTTTAATTTAGACATTTTTCATTTTAATTTAGACATTGACTTTTCTATAAAAAGGCCATGTTTCTAAATTAAAATGATAAATGTCTATATTAAAATTGAAAATGTCTAAATAAAAATGAAAGTGTTTAAATTAAAATGAAAAATGTCTAAATATAAATTAAAATTGTCTAATTAAAAGTTAAAAACCTATACTTGGTACTTCTATGATTATAAAATTATTTCATCACAAAATATTAACTTATCATCATCATGTTTACAATATTTTATTCCTTCTTAACTAAATTTTAAAACTAAGTACTTGTTACTAATTAATAATAATTAATATTTAATATTCTCAAAAATTTTTAATCTAAAATATGACATTTGGCGAAAAGAATAAAAGTATGTAGATTACACAAAATGACTAGCGCAACAAATGTCTCTTTGCCGAATTTTTATCAATAAGACAATTACGAAGTTTTGTTCAATGCATACGTTCAGTGGTTTTATAAATAAAACGCCTTAGGTAAATATACTACAATACTTTTAATTCTTGAGTGTCGGCCTTGATACATGGTAAAAATAGATCTATTTACAGTTAATCTCATCAATTCAACACCCCAAGGGATCAGAGCTTTCGGTGGTAGATCCCCATATTTTTGGCCCAAATATAATCTATAATTTTTAATAATACAGTAATAGAAGTAAAGTTTGTATTTTTAAATTCATTTTTTCCCAATATTTTTTATTAATTTACTCTTTTCCACATTTTATTTTGTTTTGTAACGAATCATGATGTGTTTAATCCAGATGATCCTGATTCTTCAATCCAGAAAAAACCAACTACATTTAAAGAAACAGTAGTGCTTCTTCAGTCTCCAACAGTGCATCACATCTGCAGCTGGACTATTTCAAGTTGTATCCACATGCAATATGATAGAAGCTATTGAGAAGATATTTTTGCCTCTATAACATCCCTTAACAAATTTATGCAGCATATTTTTAGAAAAAGAAATATATTTTTTTGCCATCTATTTCAAAGATTTATTTCCCTCTTTAAAAAATTTCAATATCACTCAAATCTAGAAAAGGTTAAAATATATTTTTATTCTCAAAATACCTATATATTAATAAGTGCAATGTCACAAAATTAATCACTGCAGATCTACAGAAATAGCACCTTACTGTGACTATAGAGCTAGCAATTATTGTCATTTAAAAAGCACAAAGCTGTACTCATCCAGTAGAAAAACTTTAGTTGCTCTTATTGTGACTATAGAATAATCCAAGAGATTATTAAATAAAAAGCATTAATTTATATATTGTTGCACCAGGTTGCGTCTTGGCAGACTCTTCAGCCTGGATTCTCTCCTGTGCTGGGTCTTGCATCTTACCAGAGCGTGTTTCAACCATCCTACAAATTTATAAAAGGGAATAACGAGATAAGTCTTCTTTAAGTAGCCACCAGAATCCTTTATTTATTTTCTCACATCAAAGAGAGCAGTGAAGTCACACGTGTACCTAAATACAAATTATGACAATCTAAATAATCTGTGTTTTAAATAAATATCATAGAATATTTTATATAAAAATAAATAAATATATAATTTAAATTTCAAATATATTAAAAATAATATAAGAAATACGCCATTAATCATGATGTAACACTTCCCCCTCTCCAGAGGTCGTCACGTCCTCGTGAGTTACCTCATCAATTCTCTCAAAATAGGGTTTGAGTCTTGAGACATGGACAATCAATGGGTCTTGGCCAGGATTATCTTTTGGCTCAATTAAGTAATTTACGTTAGACAGCTTCTTTAATATTCTATATGGGCCAAAATATTTTCTCAGTAGTTTCTCACACTTTCCTATTTTCCTAATTGGTGTCCAAACTGCTACTAATTCTCCTGGTTCGTAGCTTCTTTCCATGTGTTTCTTGTCATAGTTCTTTTTCATTCTTTCTTGAGTCTTTATTGTGTTGTTAATAACTAATTTTCTTGTTCTGTTTATTTTGTCTAAGTGATGTTTTATGTATTCATCATAATCATCTTTGTCAATATCCACCGAGATATTCCTGTCGTCCAAAAGAGACGTGGGTTCTCTTCCAAACATCAGGAAAAAGGGAGAATATCCTGTGGTTTCCTGATGAATGGGAGTATTTCGTCCCAATTTTTCTGATCAGTGTTCACATACATACTGAGCATATTGATCAATGTTCTATTTAACCGCTCTGTCAATCCATTAGTCTGGGGATGATAGCTCGTTGTGAAGCAATGTTTAATCTTGCACGTTTTCATCACCTCTTTCATTAAATTACTGGTAAATTGAGAGCCTCTGTCACTAATAAGATATTGTGGGGCTCCGTGCCGAAGAAAAATATCCTCTACTAGAAATTTAGAAACTTCTTTCACTGTTGCTTCCGAGACTGCTCTTGTTTCTGCATATCTAGTGTAGTAGTCCGTCAGAACGATTATCCATTTTTTCCTGTTTTTCTTAGATGGTAGTGGACCAACAAAGTCAATTCCAATTCTTTCGAAAGGAAAGTTGGCTGGAGGGATGGGCTGTAGTAGTCCAGAAGGTAATTGGTTAGAGCCTTTCCTACTTTGGCAAAGGTGACACGTCTTAACGAATTCTGAGACATCCTTTAGCATGGATGGCCAAAAGTATTTACTCTTTATTCGGTACATGGTTCTGGCGACGCCCAGATGGCCATTCGACATATGATTGTGATATTCTTTCATAATTTCTCTTTTTTTGTTCTCTGGAACCACAAGCAACCACGCCCTGCCTTCAGGGTTCGGGTTTTTCTTAAAGAGGCATCCATCTTCTTCTTTAAAGTTTTGCGCAATTGATCGCCTGCTTCCATTAAGGTTTTTCTTAACACTTTCGATAAATTTATCCTCTTCGTCTGTTATTTGATTTAAAAATAGCCTTTCAAAATCCTCATCCCAATCAGTTTCTGGTAAGGGCCCCCTAGATAAGCCATCGGCGTCCAGATGCTTCTTTCCCGATTTATGTATTATATCGAAGTCATATTCTTGAATTTTCAATGCCCATCTTGCCAATCGACCTGTTGGATCCTTCAAGTTTTTGAGCCAGCATAAGGCGTGATGGTCTGTTACTATTTTAAAGTGTCTTCCATAAAGGTAGGGTCGTAATTTTGACATTGACCAGACAACGGCCAGACATTCTTTTTCAGTGGTTGAATAATTTTGCTCTGCTTTACTTAGGGTACGACTTAAATATGAGATCACCTTCTCTTCACCACCGATGTCTTGGACAAGTGTTGCACCTATGCCGATGTTGGACGCATCAGTATGAACATAAGTAGGTGCATTTGGATTGAAGTGACCTAAAATTGGTGGACTTAATAGTGCTGTTTTTAGGGTTTGAAACACTTCCTCTTGTCTTTCTGTCCAGGTAAATGATACACTTTTTTTTATAAGGTTGGTCAAAGGGTCAGCAATTTTTGAAAAGTCTTTGATAAATTTTCTATAATATGAACACATTCCCAAAAAGGATTGTACTTCTTTGACCTTTTTGGGCCGAGGAAAATTTCTGACAGCTTTGATGTTATGTTCCGCGGGTTTAATACCATGTTTGCTCGTTATATAGCCGAGAATCTCCAATTCTTCAAAAGCAAATCGGCATTTTTTGTCGTTTAACCTTAAATTAGATTCACGAAAACATCTAAAAACAGCTTCAAGTCTTTTGAGGTGCGTTGGAAAATCCGGGCTATATATGATAACATCATCCAGATAACACAAACAAATTTGCCATCTCAGATTTCCAAGCATATTCTCCATATTTCTCTCAAAGGTAGCAGGCGCGTTACAAAGTCCAAAAGGCATCACGTTGAATTCATATAATCCATGCGCTGTAGTGAAAGCTGTTTTCTCTTTGTCTCTTTCTTCGACTTCAACTTGCCAATATCCAGATCTGAGGTCTATTGCTGAGAAGTGTGTAGATCCTTGGAGAGTATCCATAACTTCGTCTATTCTAGGGATCGGATAGACATCTTTTACTGTCACATTATTCAGTTTTCTGTAGTCCACACAAAATCTGTATTTACCATCTCGCTTCTTGACCAATATTACTGGAAAAGACCAGGGGCTAGAAGATGGCCTAATTATGCCTTCTGTAAGCATCTCGTCAATTTGCTCTTTTATAATATCTCGTTCTTTAGCACTTACCCGGTAAGGCTTGTGTTTAATTGGCTTCGCGTCTTCTGTGTCTATCCGATGTTTTGCCAAATTGGTTCTCCCTAATCTCGATGAAAAAAGATCTCCATACCTTTCTAAAACTTGTTTTAACTCCTTCTGTTCCTTTGGTGAAAGATTTTCGTTTATTTGGAATCTAGGTTCTTCGTTCTTTTCTACCTCTCTCTCTCGACTCACATTTATTTTCGCTGGACTACTTCCAAAAGCCAATGTTTGGTTTTTCATTATTTTTAACGGTCGAGGATACGGATTAGTTATCCAGATGTGTGTTTCCCTATTTATAACATTGATCAAGCTTCTTGCTAGACGAAGTCCATTTGTTTGAAACATTTTGCTGCTCTCCTCGATAATATATTCTCCATCCTCTGTTTCTACCAATGCCTTGATCAATTTCATGGAACATTCCGGTACAATGGAATCCTTGGCACTCTTTATTTTCAACATTTCAAAATTGATTTCGTCATGATTATTCGTCAAATCATATTTTATAGTTTCTTGCTTACAATCTATTTTTGCGTTCATTTTCTTAAGGAAATCTCTCCCAAGAA